TAACCTGCTGCTGCCCGTTACAGGGAAACGCTCGTTTACAGTCAATGTTTCACATCAAGCCTGTGCTACTTACCTTAAAGGGACCCTCGTTTCTACACATTTTTACTCTTGGACTAAAAATTGCTTTGTATGATTCACAGTTCCGAATATTTATTTATGCGCCTCATAAACAGAAAGCTTGAACAGCAGGTGGGAGGGGCTTGTTTCCTTAGAACGGCCTTATTAGTGATAATTGCTCTCAGTGACATCATACAGAGCCGAGTGTAGATTATCTTCAATATGAGCCAAATGCCTGAGCACTCGTACATACGCCAACGTCGTTATTTTCAATTTTTTTAATCAGCCATGTGCTGATGTTTCCTTTTTCTCTTTTTTCTCATTTGTAATTAAAAAACATTTTCACAAAGAAGCCTTATTTCATAATATAGCAGCGCGGTAGCTGTATAGCTGATTCACTTCTGTTGAATAATTGCAATTGCTGCCAAAAATCTTAGAAAGCCAGTTTAGTAGATTCTCACACTGACAGCACAGTGGAAGGATGACAGGCTGAGTTATGAATGAGGAAACTGTTCAGCTGCTTCTTTACAGAACGAGCTGAAAGCATTTAGGATGCCCAGCAGGTCACAGTAACACAGGCGTGCTTTTCTGCGCTCTTCAAAAGCTACTGTTTGAAGGATGCAAGGTTTGTTTTTAACTGAACATTTTTGAGTGTTCAGGTTGTATAATCTGTGTTATAACTACAAGCCAAGTACGTCTGCATTTACAGGTCATGGCTGGTGTAATCAGTGAGATGTTATTCTGCTGTAGCTTTATGTCCCAAAGCTCAGGTAATGATTAGCTCCAATAATATCCATGTATCTGAGTGTCTGGTTAATTTGTTGGTTTGAATGAATGAAGATGATTAAAACAAATTATGAACACACTGATGACACGCAGCAGTCCTGCCGCAGCTCCTCCCTCTGCGTTGTTCTTGTTCAGTACGCAGCACACAGTAGTGGTGGGATGCGTCCAGTGTACTGCATCTGTTGCATCTGTTGGGCTGCTGTGATATCAGGGTTTTTCTGGAGTTTTTGGCTCCCTGAAAAGTCAGATCCAAAGTAAAATTGGAAACATTAAACAAAATCTTTAGTACATTTTCTAAAAGCAGTTTTTCTGTTTGTTTGTTTTTCTTTGAACAGTTTGGCTCATTTCAGCTTCATTTCGTTTTCTTTCACGAGGCAGTTGTTTGAGTGGATATGTGTTCGTGGTATGTGTGGCTTAGAGTCTGACTGATATCAGGTGATTGATCTGTTTTTCTTCTGATCGTGTTTTTAAAAAGTAACTAAGGAATAAAGTAACTAATTAGTTTTGAAAATAAGTAATCATTAAAGTAATAGGATTATTTTCTTGGAGACGTAATCACTAATTAGTAACTAATTACTATTTTCAGGTAAACTGACCAACTGTTTATAGCTAACTGTTGTATTTGTGACGTTCAGACTGAGGAAGTTGCAGAGTGCCCCCTGCTGGACAAACTGTGCAACGTCAACACCTAATATGGTTGAAGGGTGTTTCTCCTTTCTCTTCTTTACTGTTTAATTTTCGACCGTTATATATTCTGACACTGATGAGTGATCAGCAAACAGCTATAACAACAGCCTGTTGCTAATATTGGCCTGCTGATAAATCAGTCAGGCTCTAGTACAACTAAATTGAGTGCCGTAGGAGTACTGGACTCGCGAAAGTCGCTAAGTGTAAATTACTCTACACGATGAGCACTTGTTATCTTAGCACAAAGGTTTTAGGCCAGCAGTAGAAGGATACAACATTGGTATTAAAGTTGATACCAGCGCTAGCTAGCTAACAGTTGCAGAGTTTACTCAGGCTTGCAGGCCAGCCCACGGTGTTAATGTTAAATTAGCGTATTTACTGTAGAGTAATTTCACTATGTGTGCACAGACACATGAAACTTTGGTAAGTGCATTCGGGTTCGTTCACAGCTTGCTGTTAAACATCATATACACACAGTAAACATGCAGAATACATAGTTAGTGTAACGCTGTGTCCACAGCAGCAGTTTACTTGTTGTGCGTCACATTGAAGCTAACGGTTGGTCATGAGCAGACATTCCAAGCTCGAAAGCAGCATCCTGCAATTTCATCCCCGGTCCTTCCCTCAGAGTTGGGAAAAGTTCGCATTACATCCTCACCGTGACTGTTGTTGTCTTTCTACAGTCTCTTACTGAGCATTAGGAAAAAGCTCAGACATTCTCCATCTGTATTCTCCTCTCTCTTCGTTCCTCTCTGCTTCCATCTTTGTCCCAGTTTTGGCTGGATTCCCACCTCCACCTCCCATCAGGTATTGAAGCTAATGGCTCTGTGTCACACTGTTTCTCTGATTTAATTGGATTTTTGTTCACTGTTATCAAAATTTCATATTTTCAGTACAGTCTGTGTCATAGTGCACCTGCAGCACTTTCATTCATTATGAGTTCATTTATTTGTTGAAATTTCCATGTAGCTTGCAGACAACGTGGTATCACACTTAGTCATTGCATAACTCAAATTTCCGTTTGGTAAACCGTCCCTGTGAACTCGGGTCACGCTGAGCCGAGCTGGAAAAACCTTTTGAAATTGTCTTTCAGGACAAAGTATATCTATCTCCCGTAGAGAGATTTTGGTGCAGGGAGTGTCTGAGCTGTTGAAAAGTCTGCTTCATGCGGTCTTCATGAACTGAAGAACTTTTCATTTTTCCCCATTTGCTAAGAATAACTTTTCTGATCTGATGTGTGGCTTTTTCCACTGTTGGAGTTCTCCATCAACAATCCTGCAGATAGATTAGATGAAGCAACTGAGATGTCCACACACACACACACACACACACACACACACACACACACACACACACACACACACACACACCATCCGTATCATTTCACGATGTATTATAATAGCCTGACCTGTGGTTCAGGGCTCATAAAAAAGAGCTGCTCTGCTCTTCATCATAGTGAAACAATACAAACCTATTTTAAACTTCTAGGAAGACGTTTGAGTGAAATGGAGTTTGCTGATAACTAGATGGGACTGAAACTCTTTCATGTTTGTGACCATATTAACCAAAATGTTATCACTTTCAAATGCCATAAAAATGCGTTTTTCTCCTTATTATATTTTCCCGTTACGATACAGTGTCACGTATGGCTGCAGGTAGCACTGCACGCTTCAGATCGCTGCTTATGTGTTTGTTTTAATTTGGGGGTTCACATGTAAAAACTCTTTGAGCTTGGGGAGCTGACATCTCTCTGACTCACAGCTGTTATGCTTCATTTCACCTCCTCGTGGCCGACCGAGCACCTTTCGTAGCCCTTTATTGACTTTGCTTTTGTGAACAGTGCTGCTTCATGAAATGAAGGTCTTGCTCTGCTGCTGCCCTCTCTTCTGTTCAGCGAGTGAGCAGCAGGGCTTCAAACATCGGGGCGGGCGCCACTGCTGGGGAAAAGCTCCACCGTATAACCTGGCAGCTAGTTAGCGAGTGCTTGCAGATATGTCAGCGTCTTCCATATAAACTTGTCTTCTAGCAGCCAAGAAGGTTTTTGGATCTGCAACAAGGGTATAGCAGCGGGTGCACTGGGACAAAATCAGCTCCAATAGATGATCAATAAGCAAACTTGGCAACTGTAAACTTGTTAATTTAATAACTTCTCACAGTGCGCGGCTGCTGTTTGGCAGATGTGAGAGGATCTTTAACACAGGGACACTTTTCTAAACCAGTCCCTGCGCTGCCTCTGCCACACAGTCACAGTGTAACCCTGCCAATACAAAACAATCATCTTTCTAAAGTTTGAGCTCTTTTGATTTTCTCCACATATTGAAGCCTCGACACGCCAAGAAAGGTGCTCACGCAGAGACACACGTCACACTGTTGCTGCCTCACGTGCTCCCTGGTTTTTGAGCTGAAGAGATCTAATAAAACATCTCAGGAGAGCGAGCGGAAATGTTCCAAAACTCGAAACCATCTTTTTCACATTAGGATAATTATGAGTTGGTTAATGCGCTAATCAAGGCCATAAAGTGGCAGCATCAGCATCACGCAGATGCAGGCAGCTCGATGCAGGAGAGGCAGCTGGGGGGCAGACGGAGAAATTAAGGCACTTTAAAGCAAAACATGCTTGAGTGTTTCAGTGGGTCACAGTCACAGTGGGTTAACTACTTTAGGAGCCTAACATGTCATTGGGACCCTTTCCAAAAGCCAGAGATTCATTTTTAGGATTTTAGGATGAGATTCTCTCTGTTTAGGAGGAACTAAAGGCCAGAACAGGAAATGTGGTTAAAGGTTTAACTGGAAGAACAAGATTTTAATGTAACGTGGTCTTAAAAATAATTCAAAGAAGGACAGGACAGGCACACACCTACGTAAAAAAGATTTTATATGTTGTTTCCCTAGACTGGTAGTCCGCACACATTGTAGTCGTCTAGGATGATTTTCTTATTTATGCTAATCTGGGCTAATCTTCTTTAATGAATGTAATTCAGAAGCTCTGATGATTTCAGTGGTTGAGTTTTCCTTTAAAAACAAAGTAAACAAAAGTGGGCCAAGCAGCTGCTCAAAGGCAGCGAGTCTGACAAACTGACCCTGTTGTCCAAGAGGTGCAAACAGCATTTCACTCCATTTGTTTCAAAGCTTATTTTTAGACGCAGCTCTGGTGTCGACTTCTCTGCTTTCCGATGAATCGCTCTCCAGACTTTTCCTGCAGATTCACACAAGGAGACGTTCTTCTCTGTGCTCTGTATTAATTTAAAGATGCTGTGTGCCCCTCCCCCTTTTTGTGCTTTGCTTGTCACAGGAAAAATGGGGAAACAGAACAGCAAGCTGACCCCTGAAGTGATGGAGGATCTGGTGAAGAACACGGAGTTTAACGAGCACGAGCTGAAGCAGTGGTACAAGGGATTCCTGAAGGACTGTCCCACCGGCCGGCTCAACCTGGAGGAGTTCCAGCAGCTCTACGTCAAGGTGAGGCTCCACTGGCTCACTTTCATTGTGATGGACTGCACACGTGTTATGTGCTACTACACGACACACTGACTCTCCTGTAGCTCAGCGAGCAGGCGTTCACAGAGCAGCTGTTGGTGTGGCTGCTAACAGCGAGGGCAGATTACAGTAGAGGGACGTGACGCTGTGTGAACTGGATGAGGAGAATAAAGAGGCAGCGGCACAGTTTGCTGCAGAGAGTGACGCTCGACTCGCTGTGTGAAGAAGAACCAACGATTTCAGCCAACAGGCTTAATCGTCTTAAAACATCTGAAATATTTAACACATATTTTCACCTATGAATGCTGCAATTACACTTCGGTTGCAGTTCACTGGAGGGTTGATGACATAAACCAGTTATAAAACTGCTATTTCTAATCATCCCGACGACACCACAAAGCTTCTGGTTAACATTTCCAGGCGAGAGGAAACAACAGAAGTGAGAAGAGGAGAAGGAAGGGGAGGATCCGTGCGGTCTAAATACCGCCGGCTGTTGTTTCCACAAATCAGAGACAGCTAAAGACAAACTGGATTTAAGAAATGGGAGAGTTGGGAAACGTTAGGTGCTCCCCTGCTTGGCAGTAAACCATCCGCTGTCTCCTCTGAGACCAGTTCAGTGAGCTCGGGAGTTCCCCCACAAAGACCAGTAATAAACCAAAGACCAGTAAATACACTTTGTTTTTGTGTTTTTGTCAGTCGAGGCGAAACAAACCTGGATAAAAAAAACTACATCATGAAGTTACAGTTGCTTGAATATGTTGGACCAGAAACAGCTGATGACAGAAGCAACGCTCTCAAACGCTCCTCCTCTCAGCCGCCGGGGCCCCGCCCACTCTCACCGCCTCACCTCTGTGAACTCTGCGTCTTCGTATTGATGCACGTTTTGTTTCGCCGTGTTTTCCTCCGCGGTCACGTTAAGTTCGGGTTCAAGTTGAAAATCAGAACACGGTCCAACCGTGTGATGTCACGTCGTGGTACAGGAGGGTTGTATCATATTTATAACACAAAAAAACAAGCAAACAAACTATTTAAGTGTCATATACAAGCAAACAATAAGCTCGTGTGCTGATTTTAGCATTTTCATACATCTCAGGGTAGTTTTGAAACTGAAGGAACAAGCTGTGATGAAAAATGAAGCTACATGAACCTGCAGAGTTTACTTAGTGTTTTGAGCCCTTATGACAACACAAATGTATTACATACAGCTGGATCTTACTGGGCACTTCATCCAGCCCAGTTTAACCAGTCCAGTTAATGAGTAATTCTATCTGATGGGAACCTTAAAACATAAAACTCCCCAAAAAGTTTATTTTTGTGTTCTTGAGCTGAATACGTGCTTCGTATGCAGCAGCAGGAACATCTGGAGACCAGAAGCAGTATGAAGCTTTATAAAGGTGGAGCTCACTGAATCGAATCAGCATCATCAGCTTAAATCTAAATAGATGTGTGCTACCCTTGATGTAACCTAACATGATGTCCACCACAGATGCTCTGCACCAGCACAGCACATTACTGTAAACTCCACCACAGTGCTGCAGGCTAATCGCTTTAGCTGCACACACTCCCCAGTTTTTTCCGGCAATCTTTGGATAACAAAACGTTAATATACTTCGGTTTGCACGGCAGGATGTTTCCCGCTGTGAGAAAGCATCACCTCAGCAGCACAGCTTCTCAAAAGCCTCAAAAATGAGGCTTTGCACACAAGCTTTACGTTTCCAGTCCTTACCTTTGAATATCACCTCCGTCTTTTTCTTTTCTCTCCCTGGGAAAGAGCAGCTGGACCTGCAGCTAGTAGACACACTGTGCCACAGACTGTACACGTATGTATGTTTGCTGATATTTGTGGTAGCGCAACCGAAACTTATAGACATCTGCATCCAAAACGCTGTTCTGGATCATCCCGGCTCACCTCGACCCCTCAGCGTGGCTCCATAGACGATGCATCGATGATGTGTTTTTTCCCAGCGGCGCGTGGAGGGTCTTCTGTGTAACAAGCCTGTTTTTGAAAACTCGGGGACGTGAACAGTAGAGATATTTGTGTAAAAAGCATAAATACTCAAGAATAGTACAGATACATGAAAATTCTACTGAAGTACAAAGTAATTGTGCATCTTCACCTCGGCCAGAAGTCGCCGTCATTAGTTGGAGATAAAGTATTTTTTTATTTTATTAGCGGGACCACGCCTCCAAACGCTCCTTCCAGCTCTCATCTACACATGTTCCCCCTCAGTTCTACAAGCTGTTTGTTCTCGTTTTCGTGCTCCACCCTCCCTCCCACTTCTATTTAGTACATGGGGCTCTGCTGGGCCGGGAGCCGCCGCAGTCCCCTTTGAGGCGTTCCCCAAACCGCAGCTCAGCTCGTACGTTTAGCTACTAAAACGCTGTCAAACCTAAAATGAGGACGTGAGCCCAGCGAGTGAATTTCTATTTAAGCTGGTGATGCTCTTTAGCATCACTTGCCAAATTCCACCTTCATACGAGCTCTACGCTTGTAGCATCATAGCTCGTGTAACAGGAGCTAATATGTTTGGCTTAATCCACAAAGATCAGGCGTGATCACCGCCTTCCCACAGAGAAAACAGACATCAGTCTGGGAGGAGCTTCTCTGAGGGGAAATATTTTCCTTGCTGCTATGCTAGCGGTGTGGATTTTCAGGTTTCCCCACACACTAAATCGGACTTTGAGTCCTGTGCTCACCGGATCTGGTCTGAAATGACCAAAGTTTCCTGTCACAGGCTGGATTTTCTAAAGATTGAAGAGTCTAACGCCTTCCCAGATCAGCCTTATCGTCAAAGGCTTCTTTTAGTCCACCAGTCCCAGCTCTGAATACAGGAAAGTTGACTGGGTGCCTTTGGTTCGGTTTAGCAGAGATTTAGCATGCGAGCAGGTTTGCAGTATAATGACAGTAAAACTACCAGCAGTCAGAGAAGTAGGGTGGGCTGATATTGTGGCATCAGTGTTAGTCATTAAAGATGTGTTAATTTTAAAACCACTATGATGTGTACTTAGTGAGTTTTCCCACAGTTGGTGTGAGCAGGGCTGATTGGAGGCTCACTTGAGTGTACTCTGAATCGCCACAAGAACCACTGAGGCAAATTACGCTGCCATTAAAAACCCTTCTGGGTTTGAGCCGGCATGCTGCCACGTTCCCATTCGCCTCTTTTGTATCTGGGCAGAAAACCATCGTAGAGGATGATATCACAGATGATATCACAGATGATTACCTTCTAATGCTAATATCCCACCGTATCGCATTACCTCTGACCCAGCAGTGCGAATTTATCCACTGATTTCTTCATTTAGTCTTACAAAACAAGGATGAACGCATTCAATGATGATCCAAGAACAAACAAACTGCAATAAAATAGCAAAAAGTGGCTAAAAATATCAACTTTAACAATTATTCTCTATTAGCAGGAGTGCTGCTACTGACAGGAAAAGGAAGGTTTTCATGACTCGAAGTGATCCAGCAGATCTAAACTTATTTATTCACACGTGTGGCAGATCATAAGCAGTCCCGGCAGCTCCCTGTGAGAGGAGCAGCCACTTCTGAATCGCACAGCCCTAAAAACACTGAGTACATGAAAGTGCAGCCGAGTGCTTCCGTACTATCTTGCTGTTACATCAGGCTTATCTCAGCATCTCGTCCTCGTTCACTGCGTGTTTTAACTTTAGTTCTCATGGAAGAAAGCACTCTGAGCCAGAGTAAGAAGCTTTCATCAGGAGTGCCAGGAAATGCTTCTTAACCTGAGGGAGTTACCGTTGTGTAAGACACGCCTTGCCAGTGAGGTCATCGGCGCACTTCCTCTAAATGCCGTCGGAAGTCATGCATCAGCTGAGACCAGCTGTTATAAAGAAAAGAACTGAGGAAGAAAACATTGGAGATGAGTGAAGGTATTCTTGGAGAAAAGAACCCGAACAAAGAACGTCTGTCAGGGCCAGAAATGACATTTTCCATTTGGATCAGTTGTTCCATTAAAGTCTCCTGAAAGGCACCGAAAATCTTTTAAAATGACGGCGCAGAAATAACCCGAGCTGCTGAAGGACGGAAACAGGCACAAAAGAAACCCACGGAAAAAGAAAGAAGCCTCTTTACCTCTCAGTGCGACAGAGGAACAGTTTGGGGCAACGTGGCCCCCGTTTAAAGGGTCCTGCAGGCTTTGGGGGTAAAATGCTGTTATTATTATTACTGCATCGTATTGTGTTTCCAGGCAACAGAGTATCAGCGGTACGGCTGTATTTAAATCCAGAGGGCTGATAAGTGTGGGAAAACAGGGCCGCACATTAACAGGACAGATTGTTCCTGGGTGGCTCGTGGTGGGTGGGAGTGCTGGGGTGGGGGGGTCATGTGTTTAGCAGGAGGGGGGCGGGACAGCATGTTTGCGTTGGCTGAAAGTGAGAAGCAGAGAGGGGCAGAGATGAGAAAAGTAAAAGCAAGCGAAAGGAAGCCCGCGTGCATTATTTATTAGTCATTAGGCCTCGTTGGAGTCGAGCTTCCTACGTTTACAAGCAGGAGACATCTTGCCCGTCCCCACACGGGCCTGCGACAGCCGTCCACAAGCCCTCCCTGTCAGGGTGCTAAACACTCGGCTGCCAGCCTGGAGGTAATGCACTGTTTTGGTTGGACACGCACTTTGTCTCTCGCTCTTGTAGGAGGATGCAGGCACTGCGATAGAGCGCAGGTGCAGAGTGTCAGCTGGAAATAACAGTGTCTGTGTCTGAGGGCACACGTGTGGCGAGTCAGTATTTCTCTGTACATGTTAACGCTGTGATTGCTCCCTCTGCTTATTAGATTTGATTGGAGCTGGAGGGTTATGAACGAGCTGCATTCTCATTAGAGAACGTCTCATTAAATGTGCTGAATTATGCTTCTTTGAAGCCGTCGCTTTTATACGTTTGAAAGATAGGAAATCACATTGAGTCACGTTTAGATTTTAGATTGTAAAATTGGATGAAATGTCCAAATGATAATGGCACAATGCAAATGTGCATTAGTGCGGTAAATGAAATGGAATTTATCCATTTAAATGCAGTTTATATGAAGAGTGAATGAAATCAGAGTTATTCAGAAAACACCCACTATGTTAATCCACAAACCAACTGCTTGTGGATTAAATAAAAGGGAACCTTCTTCTGATTGGCAGAAAGTTTGAACCACAGGTGGTGACTAAGCTTCTATTTGGCTGAAATGACCGTATTAGGGTTATCCTGTCTGTGTGATGTCATACAGAGCCAACAGTATGGAGGACTGTCTAACACAAAGCGTTTAGATTGTAGCTCGCAGGGATTCAGTACAAGCATCCAGCACTGTAACAATATACATGACAGAAAACAGGGAAACCATCATATGTTCTCTTATATCCACATATTTGATCTTTCTTATAAATCACACTCGCTAGGATGATGTGAAACTGAGGCTGGTTGTCTTCTGTACGTAAAAGTTAGTTTAGCTGTAAGGAAAAGTTTACCCAACAACGTGCAGCCATTGGAGGCCAGTTGTAAAGGCAACTATAGGAAAGCATTTTTATAATGTGAGTCATTGCCACAGTAAACACATTCTGTCAGCTGTTCATTTCATGACTTATTAAATTCAACATGATGTTTAGTTTGTTCCAGTTGCAGCCAAGCAGGACACAAAGCAGAGTCTGAGTCACAAAGAGCCGGAGATCATACGGAGCCTGTGGAATCCACAGATCCTGGTCAAACTGTCCCAGGTCGCTGAAATGACTCGTTGCAGCCATCGCGTCCCAGCGGATCTTCACGTTTAGCGGCACTGCCAACACCAGACAGCGACATAAAAATTGATCGCAGGCTTCTGTGCCAACTCGCACTCGAGTGCGTCCATGCCACAGTGTGTGAAATTTGTCATCCATGACATGCCAGCTGCTCCGTGAGCCATTTGTAACAGGATAATGACACTCGCAGAAACAAAGAGGTGATAGATTTGTGTCACTGCAAAATTTTTTGTTTTTGTGCTTGAAGCATGCACACACACATGCACACACACACACACATGCACACACACATGCACACACACATGCGCACACATGCACAGAAATGCGCACGTTTAACAGTGATCCAAACACTTGCAAAACAGGATTCATACCTTCTTGGTGTTGTGTGTCTGTGTGTTATTGTGTTGTTTGCCAAGTAACATCCAGTGAGCATCAATAGACTTATTGTGATAAGGCAGCATCAGTATAATGGCCTTCATTGTGGTTTCTGCTGCAAACAGAAACTCTGTCTTTTCCCTTCCAGTCGTCTGTGGCTGACTCCTGCATTAAAACAGCAAAAAGACAGAAAGCGAAACCAGTTTGAGTGTTTGCTAAATGCATTTAACGAGGTCCTCATAATCCCTAAAACCAGGGAAATATACACGGAGACATCATACGTGTGCTTTGTGGCTGCGCGGGAGGCGATTGATGCATTGTTGTAACGCTGGCCCACGCTCAGCCAGATGCTGACCTGAATATGCAGCAGATGTATGGATGGATTCTGCTCAGTCGCGTCACGCTTTCATAGCCTCAAGGCTTTTCCTGTCGACGGGTGTGATGCGCGCGCATGTGTGTTTGTGTGCACCGTTCAGCAGACTGCGAGGCTCCCCGTGTTCCCCACAAACAGACAGAAAGACGGATCGGAGGGCTGAATGCGAGGAAGGTAAATGGAGTGACAGAAGGACACTGACATCATCTGGCCAACAGCCCGTCTCTGCGAGGAAACATATGTCCCCTAATCACAGGAGACAAAGACTGAAACGACCGCGCTGCAGCCTCAGATTGACATGGAAAATTAGCTATAGGAGATCGTTTGGCATAGATGTGACAGCGCACACTTGTACAAAAACAAATAAAAGTCTTGGGCGTATACATATTTAATAATTCTGTGACAGCCAAGCAGCTTGGAGCTGAGAGATCTCTGTACTGCACAACAAAATGTGAATATTTTAAGAGGCTGCTACATCACTAATTGTTGGGATGTGTCAGCGTGGACCAGTATCAACCTTAGTTACAGTGAAGATTTTTTGTTTTTCTAGCTACAAAAATGGAAAACAAATGACACAAAAACAAATCACCACGTTTTGGACGAAGGGTGCAAAATCAGGAACAACCAAAATGGAAACAGTAATCCAGCTACTGATAGGCAGTAACTCGTTAGAGTGGGTGATGGTGGATATTAACAGATTGGATTTTAATCAGACAATTTGGAATTTCATTAAATAATTGAAAATAATAATAATGATAATTAGACTTGACTGTGACGATGCTTACCAGTGTCTCTCTGTCTGGCTGCAAACAGCTCGGGGAAGCACTATCTACTCGCTGTGCCACAAACTGTAGACAATGGCACACAGCTGTGTAGCGTAGGCTCAATGCACTGCTGCTGCTGCTGCAAGGAGAAAGCAGTGCATGATTTAGCCTGCTGTGATTACCCAACATAACTCACTAAGTAACTCTTTAAGACACCCCATGAGGAGACGGTGCAGCCCACACCCATTGCAGTGTTGCAAACAAACTATTTAAGATTTACATCTACACAGGACGGCCCGGTGAAGGCCACACCAGATGCAAAAGGCAAAGCCGTCTGCCAGACGCAATCCTGGCCTCAAGTCCTGCAACAGAGCCAGCCGCTATGGTCTGACCGCAAAACACTAGGCTGACCATTTAGATGTAGGCTGTCGCTGAGGGGCACCCGGCACCTGCTACCCGAAAGAGGGTCTGGCTGCGCATTCAAGCCGTAAAACTAGTTGACCGCTGCACAAATGAGAGGAAGGCTCCCCTCAACAAGCCCCACGATGTGGCCACCCTTCGAGTCGAGTGCACCCACGCTCCAGAAACTCCTGAAGACGCTTACGCCTGCCGAATGGCCTCCACGACCCAGCGGGACAACAGCAACTTAGACAGGGCTCTGCCCAGGATTCGGGAATGGAAGGTGACAAACAGCTGGTCTGTCCTGCTAATCGGCCCGATACGCCTGACGTACGCCACCAAAGCACACACAGGGCAGCCTGGCACCGAGCCGCCTCCACGCCCTGAGTGCGAGCTGTCCGAGGCTCAGCGGGGACAGTAATCCAGGACTGGGCCGCAGGACCACCGCTTTCCCATCCAGCAACTACCTGCAGCAATCCCGACAGAGCATGGAGTTCACAACAAGGCTGTTTTCTTATCCAGTTACTTAATGAAATAATCAATAGAATACTCGATTACTAAAATAATCAAACGCTGCAGCCCTACACACTACATGTCGTCTTTGTGTTTTGTCTTTTATTTGCACGTGTTACATTTTTATGGATCGTTCTCGCGCTATTTTCTGTAAATTCTTTGATGTTCTGTTATTCTGGTTTAGAAAGATTGAAAAAATGTGTTACTATAATTTTACTGTAAAATAATAAATGTAACAAAACGATACACGGAGCAGGACAACACCAAAGCTCTTACAGCCCCTCGAACATGCACAAAGAATATCAAATTATTATAATTTCCTATTTGATTCCCATGTCGATTCCTGCCATTCTCCCTCCTTCCTTTCTGCATCTTCCCCTTTGTTATTTCCTCCATCTTTGCCCACTTCCTCTCTCACCTCCCTTCCAAGGAGGCTTGTGGCTGCCGTGCACTAAAAATAGCTTTTGTCATCTCAGAAGCACTCATGCCATTCTCCATCGTTGTCACAACAAAGCGCACACACACACAGTGCTGAATGCTACACACTGCGGCTCCTGAAAGGCAGAGATTCCATCGACAGCATGAAATACTTCGTGTCGACTTCAGTTCACGAGTTGCACAAATATAGAAACAATCCCGATGCTCTCGAAGCTGCTCAGGAACCGCGAAGCAGACAAATGACGATGATAAACTGGAGACTAAATGACTCACTCATTATGAACACGAGTAGTTTACAATGTTTGGAAAGCACACAGGGAGGAGAATCTGACACTGAGTAAGCAGACTGTAATTTTCACAAAGACAAACAGTGGTTTCTACACCGCGAGTCCTTCAGAACAGAAAATTGGTGTTAATTGCTCCGAGTGTTGCAGATCAGATGCACTAGAAGCTGTAGAGCTGTAACGGACACGTGAATGTGCTTGCAGAGGCACGTCGAAACAGAGAGAGCGAAAAGGCCGACGCACAGATGGCGACTCGGAATAATGAATTGCTTTTAAGCCTTCCGGCTGCTCTCTGGCCTCTTTGCGGCGCCTCGGTCCGGACTGTAAAAATGTAATTGAATTATTCAGTAACTTTGAGGGCACCTCACTGCTGCTGCTGAGGTGTGGGAGCAAGAGAAGAGGAAGTAAGTGAGGGCCTTTAGATGCACAGAGAGCGATAATGGGGTCCGTTCAGCAGGGGAAATTATATTCAGACTGAGCCGCACACTGGCACATCCTCTATCACAGACGAGTGGTGAACAAGGCTATTAGTGTCACGGTGCAGGCTAAATCCCGCCGTGGCAGCCAGAGTGACCTTCAGCTGGTTAACAAGAGTGCAAACCACCCTGTCAGCAAGCTCCACCCAAGAGAGAGACGCCGCAGCCCCATCGTTCTGACCCCTGACTTTCATGTGGAAGAAGTCAAGATTTTATACACACATATTATATTTACCAGTTTTCAAAAGGCATGCACATTCTCAAACACATGGACCTTTAAAAATAGGATAAGATGTGCATCGTGAGCTTTTCAGGCTTTAAAACTGTTCAAGAAAAAATATAATTATTGTTGGAGAGGATCTATTACACTCACGTCTACCTCTATGCTTGGACTTGGACTCAGTGAAATCCAGGTTTATCCTGATGACCCCCTCACAAACACAAATCCTGCACTCACTGTGGTGCTGTAGAACCTGCTGTTCGAGTCCACTGTTTCAGATTTTACTCACTGCCATCTTTTTATCTGTCCTCGCTGACCCAGCTGTCCAGTCTGGTTTACTTGTCATGACTGCAAGAGAGAAACTATCGTCAGACCGTTACAAAAGTGAAGCCATTACAGCGATGAGACCTTTGTTCTGTCACAAAATGATCCCAACCACACAACAGCTCGTGTCATGCTTCAGTTTGTGCCATAATTGCATCGATATGATTTGAGCAGTAAGATAAACACATTAGTAAATTGGTGGTTATGCAGTGAGGGTCTCTCAATCAGCAGCATCTGAATTTCCTTCCCCGTGGGTATGCCATGTCAGATAATAAAGCCAACAGATTCCCAGAATGAAGTTTGTTTTTCCAAAAGCATTTAATTATGGAGGCAAATCTGGACCGATTCAAACTGCTGTGACTGACGTGATAAGTGCTGCAGAACATCACGTATAAGCACCCATAAAGCCTACGCCTCAGTACTTACATAGAACGTGACATATAGCCTAGCCTACATGTGGCCACTATGCATCAGTAAGTGCGTTAGCTTCTCTTTTAGTCTGAAGAATTGGAGAAAGTTTAGATATTTATGTCCCTGAGCTGTAAAGTAAGACTTTATAATGACGATGATAATAATCAACAGACTTGGATATAAAACATGAATACAACTGCAGAATTATAAAGGGATCTGCTATGTTTTTCCAGATTCTCTGTACTGTTCTGATGGTAGGTACGCAAACTGATCAACGTGTCAGATACTGAGGTCGATGTAAGTACGCCTATGAGCCAAACAAGTTATGTCACGTATGATGTCAGGTAGAGCAGATCAGGCATACACCTGCTCCACAGTGTAAGGTGAATAAGGATTCATTTGAACCATTGTCATGCAAAGCTACTGTAGTGGAGCGCGTGTGATGTCCGTACGCTTTTGAAATATCAGAACTGCGCACATGCACTCAGGGGCTCTTCATTAGATACTCTTGGCTGGTACCAGGTTGGAAGCTCGTTTGTCTTCATTTTATATGGCACAGATTTAACAAGGTGCTGGAAACATTCCTTCGAGATCTTGGTCCATATTGAAATGACAGGATCACACTGTTGCTGCAGATTTGTTTGGTGCATGTGATGCAAATCTTCCGTTCCATCACATCCAACAACGGTGCTCTGCTGGATTGAGATCTGGTGACTGTGGAGGCCATTTGAACGAACTACAGTGAAGTACAGCGTCATGTTCAAGAAAGTGGAATGATCTCCTGGAAGCAGCCATCGGAAGATGTGGTCGTAAAGGGATGAACACGATCCGCAGCAATACTCAGGTAGGCTGTGGTGTTGAAATGATCCTCAGCTGGTACTGTGGGCCCAAAGTGTGCAAGGAAAATATCTCAACACTGTTACGCTACCTGCAGCAGCCTGCACCATTAATACAAGACAGGATGGACCCATGAAACGGCTTCATGTTGTTAAAATTCTGGCCTATGGGCAAGAGATGTTTGCAAAGGTGCTACCTTGTACCTCCATCTCAATACTCACCACGAGGATGGTGTGATGCATCACGGAGGACGCCTCGCCGCTCTTCCATGACTCCCAAAGTTGAGTCACGAGAGGTGGGAAGTTGTCATGCTCTGGGATTTTAGACCTGTGGTTTCTTACGAGGGCCGTGAGATTGTTACTGACCTGCAATCGTACTGTTGTAATGTTTACATCCACAGCAAGTGAAAAATACCAAGCGATACAACAAAGAGTCAGTTTGTTAGAAGTATAAGGGGCGATTGTGGCTCAAGAGTTTGAACTTGTAATCGGAAGGTTGCCGGTTCGAGCCCCGGCTTGGACAGTCTCGGTCGTTGTGTCCTTGGGCAAGACACTTCACCCGTTGCCTACTGGTGGTGGTCAGAGGGCAGATCACAGACTTTAGAGGGAAAACCAGCACACCGCAGACCACGGCCTCTCTGTGTGAGGATCTAAACGTATTCTACGCTAGATTCGACACAGCGAACACCATGAGACCGGACAGTGTGCGCACCGCGGATGACGTCAGTGTGCACACTGTGTCTGAGGAGGATGTGCGGAAGTGCTTCAGGAAGGTGAACGCACGCAAAGCTACTGGTCCGGACGGGATTCCCGGCCGCGTCCTCAGGTCATGCGCGGCTCAGCTGGCTGGAGTGTTCACGCACATCTTCAACCTTTCCCTCTCTCTGTCTGTAGTCCCAGCCTGCTTCAAAATGGCCACCATCGTCCCTGTACCCAAATCCTCCACCATCTCCTCATTGAACGACTGGCGACCTGTAGCCCTGACCCCCATCGTAAGCAAATGCTTCGAGAAGCTGGTCAGGGACTTCATCTGCTCTGCACTACCCGACTCACTGGACCCTCTACAGTTTGCATACCGCCACAACAGGTCCACTGATGATGCCATAGCCCTGACACTACACACTGCCCTGTCACACCTGGAGAAGAGAGACACGTATGTGAGAATGCTGTTTGTAGATTACAGCTCAGCATTCAATACCATCGTTCCCTCGAAGCTGGACAGGAAACTGCAGGATCTA